AAAAAAATAAAGAGAGACTAGACCTGGTCTCATTGGACAAGGAGGAGCCGGCCAGATTCGACAGGCATCCCCGCAAAAGCATCGAAACGGTCGACTTCTGGGCTACTAGCATTGATGAAATCGACGTGGTATGCTGCTGCTTTTCACATCTGACAAAATAAAAATCAAAAATCATGAAAATTTTGAAAAAATCACTTTTCAACTATTCGACCCTTTGCCGAGATGACGACGGTTAGGATGGTGTACGATAACGTACTTTTCTGTAACGGTGCAGCACTTTTTCAGAGCTTCACATCGACTCGTCGAAAAGCTTCTAAGTTCAGCACAAGAAGGACGTAATGGTATAGAGAGCCGTTCGCTGCATAAGCCCTGAAAAGGAAGTTTATTGTTGAAAGGAGAAGTCAGAATACGGCAGAGCTAATTATTCTGTGAAATAGCATGACGAGCATTCATTTTGTCAGAAAATCGAATCCTGGATCAAATTCTGTCCCAGTCAAAGAGCCTTTTTTCCTCTAGGACAGAAAAGATTGCTCTGGATACGGCTAGAAGAGTGAAATGCTTGATCTTAGCATTGGCTAACGCCTACGCCACTTTATGAAATTTTGACCATGTAGTACAACTCGTTACATTCTAGAGAGTATTTGTCTGCATGGCGAATTCCTGATCCCGCTTCTAATAGCAGTACGCAAAAGTTTGGAAGTTCACCAAACACTTCAAAAGTGACATGACGCTCCGATAGTGCACAGTAAAAAAGTTTCATTGACTATATTTCACTATGAAAAGCCTAGCCACTCCATTTGGATTCTCCTGTCCGGCCCCATTCGCTTTCGGAAAAGGCTATGCATTGGCAGTTTGGTCTCAAACGTATACCGAGCCCGTATACGTCGTCAGGGGTTGAGTCGATGTTCCTGTATTCTTTCGGACAAACTTGCCAATGTATGAACTTCTGTAAGAGGGCGGAAGACCTGGGTAGCATACATGGGTCTAATATACCTTGATTTACCCCATAGTGTAAGCATAATATGAAATGCCTTCGTCCACTACATTAAGTCTGCCTACGAGCACAAACCATACTGATCTATCGAGCTTACCTCTTTCGGCCTTTCGGCATCTTCGATGTTGTGAGCTTCTGTAGCTATGCATCTAGAGAAGTCACTCTCACTCCTCATTACCAATGCCTTCAACGACCTGGAAAAGAACTTTGCCATGAGAGGAGCTATTTTAAAAAGCGACGAATGAATGAGGTGTTTACCGTGTCTTCTGTTCCTCCAAGATGCCCCTTCGATTAGCCATCCTCTTAGTGAATCGACCTTTGGGTTAGCGGCCAGTATCAGTACCAGTGCATCCTCACTATGGTACCGTACTGGGACTTGTCCCCACTGGGACCACTGGGACTTGTCCCCAGTTGATTCCCCTTTAAGGGATGAGTCAAATTGGAGGCGAACAGAGATTGTTTGAGGTTTTTTGGCAGGGCGAAGACGAATGTTTGTACAAAAAGATCGTCGTATGCCCCTTCATTCAGGTGGTTGTTACAATCGCGCGGTCATCTCAAGGACTGGTTAGTTAGAATAACCACTAACAGAAAAACAGTTACGCAAAAATCACACGAGGCCACCTTTTCAAGATCAGATCCGGACCTCGAAAAAGGAAATTGCTCCAACCTGATATGTCGTTCAGTTCGGCATACGTCGGTAAATAGGGACTGATGTGCACCAAAACATTTCCATCGAACTTCAAGTTCATCACTTCGACATCGCAGATAGTCCGAACATTGTAATACAGTACCCTTCAAAAGTACGACTTTTGGGGTGTGAGAAGGACGAGAGGATGAAACAAAATTCAGAGGAAAACTTACGCTCGACTTCTGTCTGCCACTGGCGGCATGGAAGAGCAACGGGAAAAGCAGTGAAAGGACTTGTTTCATTTTGTATTTCATTCAAACCGGCTTAGTGCATTCTCCTTAAATGAGTCGTATGGTCGCGTTCGATTGACGAGAAACAGACGATTTGTGAGCGATGAAAAAAAAAGTCGTTCAGCTGCTGCCCAAGGAGATTCCCAGCCACTTAAAGGGGTAGACAACGAGGTGTTCCCGAGAGAACAAAACTTGAGCTCCAGACTACACGAAGGACAGAATCGTCATCCTCAGACGGCGGTAGGAAATAAAAGGCAAAAGCGAAAGGAAAACGTGAACAGACAGCCACGCAGTCTTCAATGTGAGTTGTGGATTTCTGAATCTTGGGAGCGATAAGTCTGCGGAATGATCGTTGCTGATATGGGAAGGACAACGGTGATGGGGAGAGGAAAGCCTTCAAACCAGCCACAAAAGTCTGGCTAGTACGTGGGCAAGGGTGTGGTTGAGCATTCGATAAACTGCAAAAAAAGACGTCCCTCTTAATTGACTCGCTGAATCTTTGATCAAGGGAACGTACGGCATGGGTAACTACAAAGCGCTGCTCCCACGACAACCTGTCAGACTCGCTTCGAATTGTAAAAAGCGTGGGCCCTCATTTCAACTGAACGAGAGACATAGTCAGTGAGGCAAACTTCTCATGGACAAGCTCCACCCCTGCAGTGAGACAAGGGACTCCAGGGGTAGGCAAGAGAATGCGCACGACCTTCAGGGAAGAAGATGATTAGGAGCTCGCTTTCGAAGCTTTGATCTTGGATGTGCTCAAGTCCATGGGCTCCCTCTTTCAGGGTCCATTTTGCAGATGTCAGAATCCATGGAACTCAACATAGACGAAGTAGATCCTTCCCAAAACCTCAGCTTGAAGGAATTTATGCTAGAGAGCTTAGCAAATGCTTAATAGGACTGTAGATTGGTTAGCCAATTTAAAACCCTCCAGGTTTCCTTTTCTGCTGTTTATGAAAGTTCTGCGTAGCCGTTGGAGGAGCACAACTCTTGAATGAGGTAAATCTTTCTGATTCTTTTGCTGAAATGGAGAAAATGCTACCAGAGTAACCTAAACGACCCCTATGGCTAGATCATAGATCGGTAGCTTGGCTAAACAATTCGGGTGATGCAACCTTTCTAAATCTTTAGAGTTCCTTCTGGCTTCAACTTGACCTCTCCTGGACTCAGTGAGGAAATCTCAACCAAAAAACCAGGAGCAGCTCCTCCCCTCCGCGTAATGAAGAAGAAGCTTTGGTAACAGGTTCGGGATGGGAGGATATCTAGTTAGGTCATGGAGAAAGATTATATCTGCTACTAGTGACAAATCAACAAAGACAGATGCTTCTATCATTTGAGCAACCAAGGAACCTAAGCCTTGAGCTTAAAGGCCTTTTGTAGACAGGTAACAAACTGTCTACAACAGGCTTGTAGCTGAGGTGAAATGTAATCGGAATCAGACGTATGTATAAGTGAGATTGAGTGGATTTGTCGAACGTTTGGAGTGAAAACGCGCCCGATTGGAGATCGGATGGTGGGCGTGCATCATATTGGTAATCTCCGGTTCAGAGTCATAGGAATGACCGGAAAAGGTGAGATGAATTTGCCCGATAAAAGTCGGCATACGAATATCTTATACGAAACTATTAGACATTGTTGTGGTAGTGACCAGCACGTTTTTTCAGATCAACAGATAGCCCATTCGATGGTTGTTCCAGATGCTTTTGATTCACTCGAGAAAAACATTTAATGTGTGACAACGTCGTAATGTGCATAGGTCTGTGTGTGTGTGTGGCAATGAATGGAAGAACACATTCCGAAGAGGTCAATGAAACAAATAGACGA